CTTCCAGTGTAAACTATGATAATAACAGACCCCTACTGGTGTAGTGTAAAGTACAATACAATCTGGTAGTAAACTACAAGACAAACTTGACCTTGATGACATAACTCTTCCAGTGTAAACTATGATAATAACAGACCCCTACTGGTGTAGTGTAAAGTACAATACAATTTGGTAGTAAACCACAAGACGACTTGACCTTGATGACATAACTCTTCCAGTGTAAACTATGATAATAACAGACCCCTACTGGTGTAATGTCAAGTACAATACAATTTGGTAGTAAACCCTTTTCCCGTTTACAGTGAACTTCAAGGCAATTTGATGGTACACTATTTGTTTAACAATAATTCTTATTAATAATGCTTGGAGACGGCTTGAATGGGTAATGAAGAAGAACTTTTGTCATCATCAGTAACAAGTAGTTAAAATAGCATTAAACTACTTGCACCTGATGATGACAAAACCTTGTCGAAACGTTGTACATTTGCTGTTATGTTAAACTTATATTAAAGTTTTTCTTTATCACCCATTCAAACCGTCTCCAAGCATTTTTAGTCTCAAAGTGGGTTCCTTGTCATCGAAATAATTCTTATTATTTTAGCAAAGGAAACGCAGGAAGAGAGGTGTTTAGTACCTCCTGTTTTTGTTATGCCCCTTCTAACCCGGCTAGTTCCAGAAGGGAAAGTGGTCGTTATGGAAACAGAGGTATTGTCAGGACAAGCTGTTGATTTCACGTGGTTGTTTAATCAGCACCCGATCACACCATCATCATCTTCCTACGTCATTTCTAATAAGAACCATAATTCCATCTTATTCATCTATGATGTCTGCCAGATCCTAGCTGGGGAATATACCTGTATAGCCAAAAATGATGCGGGTATTGCCACAACCTCAGCATACCTTATTGTAGAAGGTAAGAAGGATTTTGGCATCAAATAAAAAAAAATTAAAGTTTCCTGATATCGAAAAATCAGTATCTTGAAAGTTCATCATTTTATTAAATAATCGTTTAGTTCATCAAATGGGTGTCTTGAAGGGATATAATAGAACATTTGTTATGGTGTGTATACTGTTTACGAGCTGGTGAAGAATGATTACAGCTATACTTGCCATAAAATATTATGTTAGGCCTATTACATTTTTAAGTTACGGTTTAAATGCCATAACCTGGTAAAACATAAGAAACAAAAAGATATGTTTTCGACATTTCTTTTAATTTGTCCATTTGGAATTTATAAGTATTAGTGTTGCATACATAAATTACGTTTCAGAGAACCTTTTGTGTCTCATTACACAGTCCAACTGATGAGTTCTGGTGTTAAACGTTGTTGGTTATAGAAGACTGTTTAGTTTAAGAATTACTATTTAGTGATTTAATATTTAATGATTATTTAGTTTTCATAACAAGAGTGTTAAAAGATAATTATTTTAAAAGCGATAATTATGATAATTAAGTTTCGTTATGTAACTTTGTACGAGTCGTACGTTGTTTATGTAGTTTACTTGTTGTAATAGGCTTTTGTAATATTGTTGACGTCATCTTACTCGAAGCTTTTAAGTTGTATCGTTATTTCTAATGTTGTTCTTACTAGAGGGCTGTCGGCCCGGCATGGCCAGGTGGTTAGGACGCTCGACTCGCAATCTGCGG